GCACAAGCGATAGGTGGTACAGCTTCTATTTGAACCTAGGCCATTTAACTCTGGAGCCTGCATGTCTAACCACAAAACTGTACTGGCTCTTAAATTTAAAAAAATTAAAATGCAAAAACATACAAATAAGAAGCCTACTTAAGGAACATTCTAGGATCACAATGTCTAATACCAAGTTTTATTGGGGTGACTCCTCCAAATATATCCCAAACCCAACTACCTCTCACATCCACTGCCTCTGATTGGGACATCACAGTAAGGGACCTCAGTGGCTCTGCACAGCACAGCATGGTCTCGGGATCAGCAGTATGGACATCAGCTGACAACTGGTTAGAAATGCAGATTCTCTACCCCACCTTCATCCCAGCCCTGCTGACTCAGAAACTCTGGGGGTGGGACTGGCGAGCTGTGTTTTAACAAGCCCTCAAGGGGATTCTGATGCACACTCAAGTTTAATGACTGGCCTAACAGAAAGATGCGTTCGTCCAGTCTTTTGATAGCCTTGCCAAACTTCAGACAGTCTCTACTGAACCATCATTTTTTTTTTGAGGAAGATTAGCCCTGAGCTAACATCTGCCACCAATCCTCCTCTTTTTTGCTGAGGAAGACTGGCCCTGAGCTAACATCTGTGCCCATCTTCCTCTACTTTATATGTGGGACGCCCGCCACAGCATGGCTTGACAAGTGGTGCCATGTCCACACCCAGGATCCAAACCCGTGAACCCCAGGCCGCCAAAATGGAACGTGCAAACTTAACCGCTGCACCACCAGGCCAGCCCCTGAACCATTGTCACTCTTCTATCTTTACAGAATAAAGTTTTGCCTTTGGGAACACAGTGATCTTCAATTCTTCTCAGGTATGTGCTTCCTTCAAGAGCTAAACTAGATCTGCACAAATCTACCACCTCGGGTCTCCTGAGACCCTGATACTGTCTGGGGCTTCATGTACCCAGTCCATGCATAGAATCCTTTATAGCTCAGCAGAGTTTAACAACAAAAATAATTTAAAAGGATTTCTAATGCCCGCTTGTGCCCCTCAAAGAACATTAAAGGTGACTAAAATTAAAGGACTGAAAATACCAAGTCCTTGTATGTCAATAATATCTCAATAAAGCTTGAAACTTTTTTTTTAATTTTAAATATATCAAGTCTAGGCAAGGATATGGAGCAACTGGAACTCTCTTGCATTGTTGGTGAGAATGTACATCAGTACATCCTTTTTGGAAAACTGTTTGACACAAAATACTAAAGATACAGATATGTCCAGTCTATGACCCAGTAATTCCACACTCAGACATATACCCAACATAAATGAACGATTATGCCCACCAGCACATATATACAAAAATGTTCATGGCATTGTTATTCATAATAGCCAAACACTGGAAACACTGGAAACACCTAAATATCCACCAACTATAGAACAGATAAATAATTTGTGAAATACTACACAGAGGTAAGAAACAAAAACAAAAATCTGCTTTTGCTACATACAAAAATATTGATCAGGGGCTGGCCCTGTGGCCGAGTGGTTAAGTTCGCGCGCTCCGCTGCAGGCGGCCCAGTGTTTCGTTGGTTCGAATCCTGGGCGCGGACATGACACTGCTCATCAAGCCATGCTGGGGCGGTGTCCCACATACCACAACTAGAAGGACCCACAATGAAGAATATACAACTATGTACTGGGGGGCTTTGGGGAGAAAAAGGGAAAAAAATAAAATCTTTAAAAAAAAAATATTGATCAATCTTACAAATGTAATGTTTAATGAAAGAAGGCAGACACAAAAGAATATATACCATATGATTCCATTTTTATGACATTAAGAAAAAAGAGAAAAACTTATCTCTGGTGATAGAAACCAGAAGAGTGGTTACTTCTGGGCAGGGGGATGCACTGGGAAAGGGATGTGGAAGACACGTAGGGTACTGGTATGTTCTGTATCTTCACCTGGGTGCTAGGTACACAGGTATAGACATATGTTAAAAATTCATCAAGCTCAGCCCTTAAGATTTGTGCATTTGACCATACATAAGTAACATCTCAAAATAAAAGGGAAACAGTGAAATCAATGAAGAATATTAAAGGAGATCCAGATCAGAACCACAGCAAGAGCCCTAAAGTCAGCTTTCCTCTCCTCCCCAATTCTCTCACACACATAGCTGCCACAGCACCTCTCACAAGCCATGCTGTGGCAGGTGTCCCACATATAAAGTAGAGGAAGATGGGCATGGATGTTAGCTCAGGCCAGTCTTCCTCAGCAAAAAGAGGAGGATTGACAGCAGATGTTAGCTCAGGGCTGATCTTCCTCAAAAATAAAAAAAAAAGAATAGGTTGATCTCTTGAATTCAGGCATTTCTTGCTGTCATCTTGCGTCCTCTATCTTGTCTCTTCTGCTGCCGCCAGCTAGCTACCACTCCTGATAAATTCCAGAAACCAGCAGGATTCAATTCAGTGTTTTGTTTTGACTGCTGGGTCCCTGATGAGAACACCAAGCTGGTTGAATAAGTAAATTTTTATGATGGGAACAGAAACACACAATCAATTCATTTCCTACATATCTTGAGTAATCGGATAGCCACACAGTAGCTGGGACTTCTCCCAGCAAGTGGTCCAGAAAAGGCTTCAGGCTAACAAAAGAGAAGGCTTCTCAATTCTTAAGTTAATATTCTCCTCCCAGGGAAGAACAGTGTTAAAAACTACAGTTCACAGTTATACAAGAGCAAACGAAGGTCAGTTCAAATACAAGAGTGTGCCACTGGTCTTAGTGCAGTTTGAAGCTTTAATAACTTCAGAAGTACAAATTCTACGAACTTACACAAAACAGCATTTGAAAGTAAAATTATTTCAATTTCTTTCATGCTTATTTGGTCTCGGGAATTGTGTGTGTGTGAGGAAGATTGGCCCTGACCTAGCATCTGTTGCCAATCCTTCTCTTTCTGCTTGAGGACAATTGTTGCTGAGCTAACATCTGTGCCAGTCTTCCTCTATTTTATGTGGGACACTGCCACAGCGTGCCTTGACAAGCAGTGCTTGGTCCAAGCCTGGGATCCGGGGCTGCGAACCCCAGGCCACCAAAACAGAGTGCACAAACTTAACCACTGTGCCACACAGGCCAGTCCCTGGTGTTGGGAACTTTTGAACTGTAAATGTATTTCAATTTTTTCTTTCAGTCAATGTTTGCCATCTTCAGTTAGGGGTCTAAAAAATTTGAAATTTAAAATTATTCAAAATTCACAAAATGAAATAAGTCTGAAAGAAATTTAAATAAACTTGCAAGTCATGCGTTTTGCAAGTTTTCAGCATTTATTCTTCTGATAATATCAAAAGCTAAAACTGTACTAAGACTTTTGGGACACCTGTACATGGAAAACTATGGAGTCACAGGGTGCTTGAATATAAACTTTTATAATTTACACTCAGCTATGTCCAAAATAAACTGAAACATTTTATAACAACACATACACACCGATATATGCAAGGTGATGTAAAAGTAAGTCATAAGCTTTCTTGAAGCTACACAGATACTGTGCTAAATTATTAAAACTTTTTTAGGAAAAGTATGGGAGGGTGAGGCAAACTGGTAGCAATATCTGTAGTATAGGTTTCTAGTATGTATTTTTACTTTGGAGGGTGTTGAGGGTGTATTTTTATTTGGAATGCTTCTTCTTAAGATAGTATTATGTTTTCAATATTTTGATATTAGTAGTATTATTGCTAATGATGCTTTTCCAGAAAAGTTAAAACAACTAACTTTTAAAGACTCAAACACTAAGACAATGCCAGGTGCCAGCCCAGTGGTGCAGCAATTAAGTTCACACGATCGCTTTGGTGGCCTGGGGTTTGCCACTTCGGATCCTGGGTGTGGACATGGCACCGCTTGGCAAGCCATGCTGTGGCAGGCGTCCCACATATAAAGTAGAGGAAGATGGGCACGGGTGGGCCAGTCTTCCTCAGCAAAAGGAGGATTGGTAGCAGATGTTAGCTCAGGGCTAATCTTCCAAAAAAAAAGAGAGAGAGAATGCCAAAAAACACTTCATAAATGTTAGTTTTCCTTCCTATTAGAGATCACAGTTCAGTGGTTCTCAATCTTGATTGCACAGCAGAACGACCAAAGGATCTTAAAAAAACACTGATGATTGGGTCCCACGCTGGGATTCTGAGTCATTTCGTCTAGCCTACTGAACGGCCATGGGGAATTTTAAAAGCTCCCTGCTTCTTCTAATGTACAGCCAAGGTTGAGAACCACTGCTCCAGGTCAATATATAATCAGGCATACGTCAACATAAACTTATGTACAGATGTTCAGAGCTCCATTTTTTTTTTTTTACCATAGCACCGATCTCAAATTTTATAATGGAAGAGGTTGAGAAGAAAACCCAGTTTAATCAGCAACGTGGACGAATCTCAAAAATATTATGCTGAGCGAAGTAAGCCGGACAGAAAAGAGTACTTACTGTATGATCCTATTTACATAAAGTTTAAATAAATTAGAACGGGGAGGGGGTTGACTGGGAAGGGACGCAAAGGAAATTTCTGAGATTAGAAACGTTCTCTATTTTAAGGTACACAGATAGATGCAGTTATCAAAACTCATCGAAATGGACAGTTGAGATCTGCATTATGATTTCGCTTTATGTAAACTACGCTCCAATAAAAAGAACGAATAAACGTAATTAACTTAAATCTGGATACCTATGTCAGGATTTGGGAGGCAGCGACGATTATTACTTCAGATGACCCCCAAACCCTCACTGGATTAAAAGCAACTGCAAACCCCAGACCAGCACCGGAAAGAATGGAGAGCCGACAGCAGGGAGAGCCAAAGCCTAAGAAATCGCTGCTGGGCTGGCAGACACAGCGGAATGACGCCAGGGCAGCGGCGCCCGAGTGTAGCACGAAAAGAAGCCCCCGCGCCCTTTTCCGGTGCGCACACGTCCGACCCTGTGTCCCATAGGAAGGGTCCGGAGGGAAACGGCGGCACCGCGAGAAAGGAGCCGGGGACAGCTTGGTTCCTGCGCGGATGCTGGGGCTGTAGGCGCCGCGCTGTCAGCTGGCTGAGGCTCTAAGGGAGAAGGACGTCGGGGCTCGCCTTCCCTCCGCTACTTCCGCCGCTGTCATGATTCCGGTGTCGCTGGTGGTGGTGGTGGTGGGCGGCTGGACTGCCGTCTACCTGACCGACTTGGTGCTGAAGGTGAGGGCCTCGGGGCTAAGGCCCAAGCCCGCGGAGCCCGTGGCCGGGGCGCAAGGCCCGATGCCTCGTCTCTTGCCCCGCCTTGCGCCTCCCGGGCCGGACGCGGCGCAGCCGTAGCCCACAGGCCGCCCTCCGCGTGTCGCCCGGCTCCGTGCTGTGAATAAAGCCCGGCGGGAGGGGTGTGGCGGCCCGCGCAGCCGCCGCAGTCGCATTGCGGGTGGTGCAGGCCCGCAGCCATCGGGTCCTGCCCGAGAGGCGCCGGCAGTGGGCTTGGGAGGGCTGGGGCCTGCCGGACCCCGCGGCAGCGCACCAGAGGCAAAAGGAAAATGTCTGCCTAGGAAAGGCATGGTTTCCTTCGTTGTCTTTAAGATCACGACCCTCTGGAGACTCTGGTATTGGAATGAATCTAAGACAACTTGTGATTTAGATCAGTGGTCTCAAACCGTGAAGTGCGTACGATCATCTGGGGTTCCGGTTAAAATGCACATTCTGATTCGGCAGATCTGGGGCAGGGCCTAAGATGCAACCAGGTCCCAAGTGTTACCAGTGCTACTAGTCTACAGATAACTAGTTTCTGACAACTCGAATTCTCGTTTGCACCCTGCACACCCTTCTCCACACTAGCCCCCGAAACCCTCCAAACACACACACCCTGGGTGCTCGACCCATTCTTCAGTTATTTGGGAAGGATAGCAAAAATGATGAACAATTGTCTGACCACATGCTTCAAGCAACCTTTCGAAATGGAATGTTGGGGGTTGGGGGTAACTGTACATGTGGAATAAATTCCTATACGATCTCAAATGTTTAATTAAAAATTCCAATTGTGAATAGTGAGTATCTATATACTATTTATAATAGTAAATAGCAGCACGTGCATCATCTGAGAGCTTGTCAGAAATGTAGACTCTCAGGCCTCATCCCTGACCTACAGAATCAGAATCTGCATCTTCACAAGATCGCCAGGTGCTTCCTCTGCACGTACTTGGCATAGTGCTTACCATGTCATAAGCAGTACAGGCCACTGCTTCTTTCAACAGTGATTTTGTTATTTAGAGAAAACAAAGCCTCATGATTTCTTCGTGTTGCATATGTGACAAAAAATCCAAAATAAAAAGAACTTTTTGAACCTCTACAGTCTCTGGTCAAGTGTGTGAGGTGATCAGGCTGTCACTTTAATTTCAGTAACAGTCTCTAGCTCCCTAAGAGAGCACTATTCCTTGAGCAAAAGACCTAACTCACATCCAGGCTATCTGCCTGGGGAATGGAGAGACCTCGAATTTTAGGAGTCTGCACCTTCAGCTTCTCTGCTTCCATCTTGGTCTACTATCCCACCCTTGGTTCATCTGGGGTTTCCTCAGTAGACATCTGCTGGAAGGGTGTGTCCCTCCTTTTCCAAGTCCTGGAAAACAAGCAGGTTTTAAAAACTTCACGTGAAGACTGAGAGCTGAGAACATCACAGATCTGAAGGCAAACTGATACCTATATACAGACTTGGGTCATTTTTTATGACAGTAATAGGGCTGAAATATCCTTCTGGAGACAGATAAGTTTCTCCAATGAATGGGCATCCATATGACAAAATACTATACTTACTGTAACTGAGGTGATGGGGATTTGTGTCAGGTATATAAAACAACCTTACATTATCTAAAACCCTACATTACTCAAGGACTTCAACTTCCCTAAAGATAAAATTTGTTAGGTTGTGTATGAGCAGATAGCCCCCCAACCCTGAAGAATGTAAGAGAAGTTACCAAGACCAAGATGGCTTTAACTAAGTTTTGTACTTTTACGTGATCAAAGTCGGCCTAATTTCTTGGGGTTGTTGCTCAGAAGAGCATAGAAAGCACTAATTCCAACTAACCTGTCCACTCTGTTGGATGGGTTGGGGGTCTTCTTAAATTGTCACACAAGACTTCTTGTTAGGGTAACAAGACTTCTAGGCCTGCGCTGTCCAGCATGGTAGCTACTACCTGTGGCCACTGAGCATTTGAAATAGAGCTAATCCAAATTGAGATGGATACCAGATTTCAAAGACTTAGTGCATAAATAAATAAATAGAGTGTAAAGCATTTCAATAATTTTTTATATTGATTACATGTTGAAATGATAGTATCTTGGCTATTTTGAGTTAAATTAATCTGTTTCATACTTTTAAAATTTTGGCTGCTAGAAAATTTAAAATTACATATGTGGCTTGCATTTCCAGCCCATGTTATATTTCTGTTGGACAATGCTGTTTTAAGCAGAGGTCAGCAAACTTTTTCTATAAAGGGCCAGATAGTATTTTAGGCTTTGTGGGCTGTGCAGGATATCTGTTGTATATTCTCGTTTTTTGTTGCCTTTTTTTACAATCCCTTAAAAATGTAAAAACCATTCTTAGCTCACAGGCTGTACAAAAACAGTCTGTAGGCTGGATTTGGCCCATGGGTCATAGTTTGCCAGACCCTAACCTCAGCAGACCAGCTAATCTAAGACCTTTACTTTAATATCCTGAAGAATAAACATAAAGCTTTAAAATTATAAGAGTTTGGGCGGTCAGTATCTTACTTTCCTATAGAAAATACTTCTTTTTGATTTTCTTAAATATTATAAATTGTTCTTCAAAATTGAGTGATGTGGAACTTTTCTTTCTCTCTTAGTCATCAGTGTATTTTAAGCATTCTTATGAAGACTGGCTGGAAAACAACGGATTGAGCATTTCCCCTTTTCACATCAGATGGCAAACTGCTATTTTCAATCGTGCCTTTTACAGTTGGGGACGGCGGAAAGCGAGGATGCTTTACCAGTGGTATTCTTCATTTTCTCTTTTTGGTTTAAATTAGTTATTGTGATCATGAGAAAAGCTTATAAATGAACTATTTCCATCATTTTCCAGTCTACTGAGTTTTAAAATGTTGACAGTCTAAAAACTTTCTGGTTTTATATAAACTTACGGGATTGCATCATTGTTCTTTTGCATACATTCAAAATCAGTGTTCTATATCTTGATCTGGGTGGTGGATACATGAGTGCACGTATGTAAAAATTCAATAAGCTGTCCACTTCAGACTTGTACACTTTACTGTGTAAGTTATGTACTAACAGAAAAGCAAAAAACATATGGAGCGTTTTCCATCAGGAAAATAATCCTAGAGAATTCTCTCGCCTCTCATCACACTTAGAAACAAGGGTCCTGGGAGTCATAGGATGCCCAAAAGTCTGCAGGCTTTCCTCTGTACTTCTTTTGTGATATCCCTCCACAGGAAGGATATTTAAAATATGTAACAACCAGTAAGGCATACACATGAGCCAATTGGAAAAATGGCCAGCCAGATTGCAGCAACGGGGTCCTGGAGCCCCCTGGCCATGCCAGTCATACCCCTTTTGTTTAAAAATCAAGGAGTTTATGGTGATTATGGTGAGGGGGTTTATGATGATCTCTGGGACACCCTAGAGACCGACAGGTTCTGTAGTTCAGAGAATTTCTAGCATGGGAATAGGGGACCTTTGTCTAAATTCCTTTTTGTTAAAAATTTAGCTCCAAATGGAATAGAGCTAAATGTAAACAACCAGATCATCAAAAAGCAGAAAATGCAACAGCAAATCAAAGCAAACAAAATAGAAAGAAGGAAATAATAAAGAGCAGAAATCAGTGAAATAGGAAGGTTTCAGTAGAGAAAATCAGCAAAGCCAAAAGTTGGTTCTTTGAAAAGATTAATAACGTTGATAAACTCCTTCCACAACTGATCAAGAAAAAAAGAAAACACAAGTAACTAAAAATTAGAATTGAAAAAGGGAACATTACTACAGATTCTATAGACATTTTAAAAAGTGAAACTATTGTGAACAATTATATGCCCATAAATTTGACAATTTAAATGAAATGCACAAGTTCCTTGAAAAACACAACTTATCAAAAAGTTAGAAAATGTAAGAGATTATTCCCAACTATAGAAGGGTAACTTTTAATTATTAAAACAGTAGAAGAAAGAAACTGTCATTAAATTTTACCATGTTAATATTTAAGCTCAGCACAAAATACAGTTAAAATGCAAACAATAGAATTGGTACATGAAAACGAATGGATGTCTATAATGTCAAAAGAGCTTTCATAACTATATGAAAACAAGATCAAAACAATGCTATGTGAATGAGCAAAAGACATGAGAGGAAACAAACTTTTTATTGGGAACAATATTCAGCCTCTTCAGTTATGGGAGAGTTGTAAATTATTAGAACTGCTTAAAGAGACTAGTGCCTGTGCTTCAGTAACATATGTAACGTTCAGGTAAGAAAAAGAGGCAGAATTCTGAAATTTTTAGACATTATTTTGAAGCTGTGAAATGTGGCTGGTTGATGAATTTGTTAGTCCATGAATTATGAGGAATTTTATGTGATTTTTTTCCTCTTGACAGGTTCAATTTTGGAATGGTGTTTGGCGTAATTGCCATGTTCAGCTCTTTTTTCCTCCTGGGGAAAACGCTGATGCAGACTTTAGCACAAATGATGGCTGATTCTCCCACCTCTTATTCTTCCCCCTCTTCTTCCTCTTCTTCCTCCTCCTCTTCTTCCTCCTCCTCTTCTTCCTCTTCCTCTTCTTCACTTCACAATGAACAGGTGCTACAAGTTGTGGTAAGTGCCTTCTTGTTGCTTTAAGTAACTGTTGAAAGATAGATATAAGACATTTCTTCTGGATAGCATTAACTCCTATCCATAATATAAATATGAAAAGTCTCACAATTTCTCAAATTACCTGCTTAAACAAAAACATTAGTAATAATATAGGAAGGAATTGTTGTAATATGTAGCAGTAGTAGTAATAGAATAAATGGACCACCCTCAACAATTACACAGGTATTTGATTTAATTCATGTTACCTTCTTGAGGTGTTAAATGATTGTTACTATTATGGAATAAGCATGCTGATTTAAATCTCTATAATGTATCAATAAATTGCATTTTAATCCTATGCAAAGTATTCCCCTTTCCTCTTCATGGCTTTCAGAGTCTAACCAATGATATCCTTTTAATTAAAGATATAAGACCTTTTTGAATGGTTGCGGTGATTTCTTGATATGAAGAATAATGTGCTGAGTTGTACTCCTTTGACTATAAGCTATTTATAGTAATTATCACTTTAAGGCACATGTGTAGACCTGTACTTTATCGATTCATATCTCCAGAGTTTGGAAGGGTGCTTTACCATTGGCTAACTTTTATTTCTAATTTTTTACATTGATTGTTTCCATTTCCATGAATCATGAATATTATGTTTTTAATCATGTTCTTATTAATGGAATAGGCTGTTTAAGAGTCACTTGGGGCCAGCCTAGTGGTGTCGTGGTTAAGTTTGTGCACTCTGCTTTGGTAGCCCAGGGTTTGCTCATTCAGATCCTGGGCACAGACCTATACACCACTCATCAAGCCATGCTGTGGTGGCCTCCCACATAGAAGAACTAGAATGACTGACAAATAGGATATACAACTATCTACTGAGGCTTTGAGGAGAAAAAAAAAAAAAAGAGGAAGATTGGCCACAGATGTTAACTCAGGGCCAATCTTCCTCACAAGAAAAAAAAAGAGTGAAGTGAAGGGTTTTTTTTTAACTCATGTCTTTGTGGCCTTTACTAGGCTGGGTCACTATAGGAAGATTTCGAAGTCATTTGTTGAGAACAATAAAGAATCCCATGGTAATAGCTCTTTCTTAGAGATTAAAAGGATTTGCCAGGTGAAGCCTTCTTCAGAAGATATGATTTATTTCTTCTGCAAACATTTACTGAGTCTGTTTTGTCTCCTGGCCTTATCCTGAGTCCTGCTTATATGGGGAACAAAATCTAATCCTAGCACTCATGAAGCTTTTACTCTAGAGGGAGAGCTGCTGTGATTGTGCTACAGTTGGACAGAGTATAGGTGCCATGGGAACAAAGAGAAGGTGTGCTAAGGTGTGCCTGGCACTGGGAAGAGAGTAGAGGAGAGCTCAAGGGAAGGCTGAGGAGAGTCCACATAGCCTGGGAAAGGAAGACGGCAATTGAGCATCCCAGTAACAGGGAACCATATAACATGGAAAGGTGGAATATAATAAAACCTCGTTAATGTGCAGTGCTTCCTGTGTGAGGTTTTTTGTGCCTATTTTGTTTTATTCCTGCAGCAGTCTGCAGATGAGTATTGTTATCTGTGATTTACAGTTGAGGAAACCAAGGCACAAAGATGTTAAGTCATTTGCCTTTGGTCACAGCTAGTAAATAGTGGGTCCATCACTCACCCACAACTGACCTCAGAGCCTGTGCACATTATGCTCTAGTCCCTTAAGAAAGACCAACAATTCTTCAAGGAACTATAAGTAACTTTGACCTGAGTCTGGGAGGTATATGGTGGAAGGTATATGGTGTGGGAGATAAGATAGGAGATATAGGTAGGGAGGGTCTGGGTTATGAAGGGCCATTCTAAAAAGTTTTCATTTTACCTATAGATAACAGGTCTGTGCAAAATGGATCACACTAGGGTTACACTAAAGATGGGGAGACCAGTTAAGAGGGGAGTTGGAATAATTCATGTTAGAAGTGATAAAGATCTAAACTAAACTAGTGATAAGAGGAATGAAGGGGCCAGATTCACGGAATCTTTTGGAGTGGAGTTCTCAGACCTCAGCATTTAATTGAATGTGAGGCTGGAGGGAGAAGGAAGAGTTTAGGATGACTCTCAACCTATGCGATTGGTTATTGTTTGAGAAAGAAGCAAGCGTGGAGGAAATATGATCGTTGGCCTGCCTGCCTGCTACGATTACAATGGCAGAAATGTTGTTTAGAGAAGAAATTATTTCTTCTGTTTGCTTCTTTTTATGCATAGAGCTCACAAAAATATTGACTGTTAGGAGAGTTGTGCTTTGGGACCGTTAAGAAGTCAGATGCCCGCTGTGGTCCACCTTGCACATCTATGTATAAGTTTGTTATGTCTCCTGACTTTGAGATGAGCTTAGAGAACATACTTTCTGTTTACTCTGTAATTCCCTACAGCCTCGTTCAGTATTAATTCCCAAAAACCTGGCACTCTGTGTTGTTGAGAGATCAGTATCCTGGTACATCTAATACCCTGTATGATCATGGCCAAGACAGATGGGGAGTCACGTACTGTTGCCAGCAAACGAGACCTACCATCTGTTCGCATAGTCACATGCTCAAATCCTTACCTTATCTCATTATTACATCCATAAGATAATAAAGAGAAGGAACCAGTGTCCTATTGGATCAAGGCTACTGATTTATTTGAAATAAAGATAAGATAGGCAGGATATTTTGTGATATAGAGGGAATGTATGAGAATTAATCTTAAGTACATAAATTTAGAGAGGGGTCAGAGAAACGGAAACTACTGATATGAACAGACAGATGCCTGACAGTATGGGAATGGAGCAGGTATGTAGAAAAAGTTACACTGATGTCCTTGAAAAGAGTGGCTTAGTAGGGTCTGAGTAAAGAGAACTTCAGATAATGAGCATCATAAAAATATCCATATCCTTTGACCATTTACTTCCGTCTCTGGGGCTCTAGCTTAAGGAAATACTTCCAAATATAGAAAAAATAGTATTCATCAAGCTCTTTATCCTAACATTATTTATTATTGTGAAGAATTGGAAACAACCACGACATATAATTGAAGAATGGTTAAATCATGGGGTTGTCATTCATGAAACATTATGCATGCATTAAAAGTGATGATTATGAAAACTAATTTCATAACTAGGGAAATGATACTGGGAATTAATGAATTTAGAAAGTGATCCAAGCAGCATGGTTTGACTCTCCTCTTTAGTTATTAAAGGAGGCTTAAAAGTGAAATCCCTCTGTTGTGCGTGAAAATAAATTCCAATTAAATTAAAACATGAAATCATAAAAGACCTTGAAAGAAAAAAAAACAGGATTCTGTTTATATGAGCACAGAATAAGGAAGACATAAGCATAAAACTAATGACAGAAACCATGAATGTTGATAGATTTGACTACATACAATTTTTCGTATATCAAAAACTGAAAATAAAAGGCAAAAAAACTTGGGAATACATCTGTGACGTGTTACAGAGGACTGATAATTGATATTTGAAGTGATCTTAGATCAATAAGAAAAAGATGAATGAATAGGAAAAAAAATAGACAAGTCATGAGTAGGCTACTCATAAAAGATCTATCAGCGGTCAAAAGTAGAGGCAAAGTTCAGCTTTAATAATGATCAAAGAAATATAAAACAATGGGATGCTTTTATATTCCTCTCAAATTGCAGATTTGAATAAAATGAGCTTGCCCAAGGTTATGGAAGGGTCGACTTTTGGTGAGCAGTTTAATAGATATCAAAGTCCTTTAAATTTTGTGTAATAATAGCATTTGCTACCCTCTCTGTGAGGCAGAATGTTAAACATTGGACAAGAGTTATCTCCTGTAATCCTCAAAATTACATGTAAATGTGGTTATTTCCATTTTAATGATGAGGAAATTGAAGTGTTAGGGGAATAATCTAAACTTCCTCGAGGTCCCTTAGCTAGTAGATGGAGCCAGAACGTCAAACCCAAGTGATATGTCTCCAGAGCCTGAACCAACCACGTTTGTCTAAGAATTTATCCTCCGAAATATTTGGGTATATGTGTTCAAATATGTTTATCACAGTATTTATAAGAGCAGAAACCTTTAAAACAATTGGTTGTCCAATGATCTATTCCATAGAACATAATGCGGCTATTAAAAATCATGTTGAATCAGACAGTACTAATGGGAAAATGTTTGTGATACTGTTAGTGAAAGGAGCAGGTTTCAAAACCATGTTTTAATAAAAATACAATTTTTTAAAATATGTGTACATGAAAAGATGAAGGACATGCGTTAAACAATGAGAATTGTTTTGTGTTTTGGGACAAGGATTATAGGCTTCTATTTTCCTTTGAGTTTTCCAGCTTTAAATATATTTTATACTGAATTTAAAATAATAATTAATATAAGAAAGAAGGAATTTCTCCCAGAAGAATACCTTTAGGATCCCAACTCCTGGACTGTAAGAAATAAATGCTCAGTATGTAAATGGTATTAATGATGCCTGGTGTGTTTCACTTAGCCTAATTTATAGAATCTCTTTAACAGATATAACTTGGGAGCAATTATTTGTCTTATGAGAAGATTCTTGGATATCTAAAACAAATTTACTGTGCAGCCCTTACAATAGCAAACTTCCCTCGTGTATGCAATGATATATGTATGTACAACATCTTAGGAGCATGAGATTGCAAGACACCTCCCACTTCTTGATAGGCTATTAGCATGTCTGTATGTTCCATATGCCTTACTTTCTGCCTTAAATTTCAATTTTAATATAATATTTATGTATCAGTTTGATACTATTTTTCTGACCAATATGCTGGACAAACTGATGGGATAGAAGAAATGGAGGGCATGGTGTTCCCACACTGATAAGGCACTTTATTACACTGCCTTTAATTATCATCCCTCATATAACTTGAGAATACTAAAATGAAACTCATTGATTGAGGCTGGGGATATCCTGTATTACTCACATAAGTACTTGGAACCTTGCAATAACAATTCAGAGGAAGGACTAGGAATTATAACAAGAATTTCCAAATCAGGCTTCCAGCCCTTGAGGGTAGATCAGCTGCTGACTCCTTCACTGTCACTCCACATTCCCTGGCGCTTTGCCAGGCTCCCTAATTCTTTCCCATGGTGCAGACTTCAGGAAGCTAAAGTTTCAACTTTTTAACCTGGCGTTTCCTGTTCTCTTTAGATTAGTGTTGTGCTTAGTTCAAAAACTGCCTAGTTCAAAAAACTGACTGATGTTTTTACTTTTATTATGATAGAAATGGAGAAGTGAACCATTGGTATTCATATACTTTTAGTTTACAGAACATTCAGCTTGGAAGTTTAAGCTTTAATACAGAGTGAACATCGTGGTCTTTTGGTGCCCAAGTGTGTAATTATCATTGTGTCTGTGAACAGGTTCCTGGTATAAATTTACCGGTCAACCAACTGACCTATTTCTTCGCTGCAGTCCTCATTAGTGGTGTTGTACATGAAATTGGACATGGGATAGCAGCTATTAGGTAATGATATTTACCTTTTTCTTTCTACTACATGCAAAGAAGCTTTTCATTTAACAGAGTTTATTACTAAAATCTGCTACATTTGATACTTTTTCTTCCTGTGGATATTGCCCAGTGCATATCCACCATCATTATTTTAAAGTACTTTCTCTTTTACAGAGGAGATTAATATATTGATGAATATGCTCAATTAACCATGTGCATATCTGTAATCTGGGTCTTTCTATCCTTTGCCCTTTGCCAATATGGTTATATTCTCATGGTACTTCTAGATTTTCATCCAATCCTGAAACCTACTCTTTGTCTTTATCATTGAGTCAGAATGATAACCATTGCACTCAAAGCCCACCCACCTGCTTTTTTAGTACTTTCTTTGGCTTATCAGCTGAAATACTTTGCTGCTTCTACTCATGGCCTCTGCTGGCTAGAGCAAGAACACTGAAAACTCTGAGTTTGTTAACAAATATCATAGCCTATCTAGAAACCCAAGTAGAAGAAGACAAGCGAGGATGAGACCTGGGACTTGCTTCGAGTGTCATGCCCTGTTCTTGTCTTGCATACCCAAATGTATGTAATTATACCTGAGCATCATAAAGGCTTCTAAACTTACAAAATTGTGATGGGGGAGAGGGTGAGTCACAACTCCCTTTCATTCCCACTGATAATTATGCCATAATGAACACACATACTGATGGGAATATGTTTTATCCTTTGGGTGTGTGGACCAGGTAAAAGGTTTTAGAGGAGAAGATTTAATCACTTCTTATTACTTTCCACTTGCTTATGAACAAGAGTCTATTGACTGGCAATAAACCCTCATCTTGACAGAGCATATACTGTTAAACAGGTGGCCATGTAGTGGTTTAAGTGGGTGGCTACTTTTTAAATTTTTTTTAATCTCTTTCACCTTTGTTTCCACGCTTTTAGCGTTGCAGCCTTTAAGGTTTTACATGTAAAAGCATTGTTATTAACAGTTTAATATTTCACAGTGTGCTTGTGAAACAATGTAATTTTTTAATAAAATCCCAACTGCTAAGAAAAAGTGAATTTTACAGGCTTACATGTTTAGTACTAAGTGACAGCACAGTATATTTAGGTGATGCTTTTTTTTAGAGTAGCTGTTTGGTTTTATGAAGCTATTAAGTGTAATTTGATTTTTCGAGAATGAATTGATAAAAAAGAATTCTCTTAAGGACAATCTGAGCATTATGCATTTTTAAATGTACTTATTTTAACATTAATTCAACAGGAATACACTTAAACAAACCTCCACCTTTATAATAGCTAAGACAAATATAAACATTTAGATAATTTACTTAAATTATATTTTCTACGTGTCCTTCTCTGAAAATAATTGAGTAAACCATAAAAATATTTTTCATTTAGTTTCTCATAGAAATATTAACCATTTATTTCTCTGTGTGACTAATTTCAAGTTATCTGCTCATCGTATGGGTTCCTAAAAATTTTGAAGTTGTCTGTTTCAGAATGTCCTGTTTTACAAAATGCGCTTTCACAGACAACCAAATCTGTACACTATTGTAAAATTATGATGAGAGAGAGAGAGAGATATATATCATATATATAGGTGTAATTTTTTTGACTGTCCAGAGAGACTTGCTTTTCAGCAAGAATTTGAATTACAGTGGGAAGGGGGCCAGCCCGGTGGCGCAGCGGTTAAGTTCGCACGTTCTGCTTCTCGGCGGCCCAGGGTTCGCAGGTTTGGATCCTGGGTGAGACATGGCACCACTTGGCATGCCATGCTGTGGTAGGCCATATAAAGTAGAAGAAGATGGGCACGATGTTAGCTCAGGGCCAAGCTTCCTCAGCAAAAAGAGGAGAACTGGAAGTAGTTAGCTCAGGGTTAATCTTCCTCAAAAAAAAAATGAAATGAATTACAGTGGGAAGTTTTAAGATTACATACATTATTAACTTGACAAATGCAATACTAGTATTAAATTCCTTTTTCTTATGTGATTTCTTAGGGAACAAGTACGATTTAATGGCTTTGGGATTTTTCTCTTCATTATTTATCCTGGAGCATTTGTTGATCTGTTCACCACTCATTTGCAACTTATATCACCAGTCCAGCAGCTAAGGATATTTTGTGCAGGTAACAGACTTAAATTTCTTTATTCATCTGTGTGTTGTTAGTGGTTTGATGGAAAGTACTCACATCACAAATGAAAACATATCATCATTTGGTTGATAAATTCAACTTATAAGATTCTCAGTTAAAAGTTTAGAGCAAAATAATTGACATTCCAGTTTCTTCATTAAAAACAACTGAAAACAACATAATTTTTAAATGATTGCTTTTAAAAGCAATCTTTTTGTGTGGTATATTAAAAGCATAACATACCACACAAATGTGAACAGTAAATATGACTAAAGCATTAAATTAGACACAAGGGGCCAGTTAATAATCATAAGGAGTATAAAGCACAATGAAAATGTAATCGTTGTGAATCTTACTATATCAAGTAACAAACCATCAAAACAAATGGAAAAAGTAGAAGGAGAAAACCAAATTGCAATAAAAGAGGTTCGTCTCATCTCTCAACAAGTAGCAAATAAGTATGAAAAAGTCAGATCATCAAAGCTCTAATTAGTAAGGTAAAAGTCAATAGACATGTCAAACTCTATGCCATGACAATTTCTTTTCAAGTGCCCATGAAACTTAAAAAAATTGACCAGGGGCCAGCCCTGTGGCTAACTGGTTAAGTTCGAGCTCTCTCCTTCGGCGGCCAGTTCAAATCCAGGGTGTGGACATGGCACCGCTCATCAAGCCATGTTGAGGCGGCATCCCACATGCCACAACTAGAAGGACCCACAACTAAAAATACACAGTTATGTACTGGGTGGTCTTTGGGAGAAAAAGGAAAAATAAAATCTTTTAAAAAAAGGATTGACCAACATGACTGACAGACAATAATGTACAACTGAAATTTCACAAGATTGTAACCTATCATTAACTCAATAAAAAATAATAAAAAAAAGATTGACCAATTTAATTCAAAACGATAATTGCTGTATATTTAAATGATAATGAAATAATGTGCAAAGTTTTGCTAAAAGGAAAATTCACTGCCTTAGGCAGTTTTTATGAAAAAAGAAATGAAAGTAAACCAGTTAAGCATTCAACTGAATAAGTGAGAAAAGAACTATAAAATAGCTTAATGATGTAATTAGTAAGGATATAGGCAGAATAAATTAGAAAAAAGAAAAATATAAATAAGTCCAAGAGTTAGTTCTTGGACCAAAAAAAGATTAAACAATGGGAGAAAGTGTCTGTAAACACTAATTCTTTAGCAGTCAGATTGGAGAATCACAACTCATACAAGAAAATTGGAACAGTTATAAGTGTTCTTTGTTCATCTCTGCAAAAAAAAAATTTTTAAACCTGGATCATTCTGAAAAAAATAAATAAATAGCCTGAGTTAACCCCAGAAGAGAGAGAAAAAAATCTAAATAGTCTAATTACAATGGGAGAAATTAAGAAAGTAATGAAGAACGCCCCTGAAAGTTTCATGGGTGGAATTCTTTCAGATCTTGAAGAGAAAGATTTTCCTTTTAATTCCAATTTAGTATAAACTTTCTAGATTGCACAGAGAAGAAAACTAAGATTTTTTTTTTAAAGCCAGTATAACACTGATACAACATCCTGTAAAGCACAAAAAAACCCTCTACAGACACATGGTGGACTTAAACAATGCAAGGATGGTTCAACATTAGGAAATCCATTTTACTGTTGTTTACATTATGTACCATTAGGGAAAAAAATCTTCATCTCAACAGATATTGAAACGGCTATTTAACAAAATTCAACATCTATTAATAGCTAAAAACCAAAAATCCTTAGTAAAAGTAGAAATAGCTGGATACTTCCTGGTATGACACTTAGAAGCTATTAAAGGACAAGACAAGCAGTCCCACCGTCAGCTATCACTGATAGTGTTAAGTGGTCTGTAAATGTGGGTCATTGCAATTAAATGAGAGGAAAAACAGAAGCATAAATATTAGAAAGGAGTAAGCCTTTTTTTTCTGATACTGTTATATGCCTGGGGAGGGAGGCAAGAAAATCAACGGAAATGAAATAATAGAACACCAGTGAAGAGCCCGGTTACCAAGTTAATGTTCAAAAACCAACAGCTTGCTAGGCAGGACGGGAAGGCGGGAGGGGTAGTGCGTACACGAGGGCGTGGGCGTGAGCGTGGGCACGCACTCGAGGTGGCGCCGGGAAGCGCATGCGCCGGGCGCACCCAGAAGCCCCCTCGCCTTCTGGGCTTTTCGCCTCAACCGCCCACGCCTTCCTCGTGGCCCTCGCGCTTTCCTCCCTCAGCCTTTCTTTTCCGCGGCCTTCCAGTCACACACCCGCTGCCCCGCGGCCAAAGTCTCTGCAGAGCTCGCTGCCATGGCCTCAGAGGAAGCTCTCTACATCTCCACAGAAAACTCGGAGATGCCTGCAGATATCGTGGAGCTGCACAGCCTCCCTGTGGAGACCGCGGAGATGGGAACCGTCGAGTACGAGGATATCAGCGGCGATTGGTTCCACGGCGGCCACCACCATCCGCCCCTGATCGCGCTGCAGCCGCTCATTATCAACAACCCGAACCAAGGTGACCAGGAAATGGTTATGGTGCAGACACAGGAGGAAGTGGTGGACTACTACGAGTCAGACAACCTTGAGAATCCGGTGATCAACCCAGTCGACGACGACGACTACTACCAGCAGGCCTTGGCTTCCTTGGCAACCTCCGCGTCGTCGTCGGCCTACAGCTACCGCAAGAAGCGCAGGAGCCGGGGCAAGAAGCCCAGCCATAAGAAGAGCTACACCAGCAGTGAGGCCAGGGCGGGAAGCGGCAGCGCCCCTGAGACCGGCAGGAAGAAGTGGGAGCAGAAGCAGGTGCACATCAAAACCCTGGAGGGAGAGTTCTCCGTCACCATGTGGTGCCCGAGCAGTGAAAGGGACAATGAGACAGAAGGACAGACGGAGGAGAACTCACCTCCCGATTACTCAGAGTACGTGACAGGGAAGAAACTTCCTCCTGAAGGAATACCTGGCGTTGACCTCTCAGATCCCAAACAACCGGCAGAATTTACTGGAATGAAGCCAAGAAAAAAGAAAGAAGGTACTCCAAAAACAGTAGCTTGCCCTCATAAAGGCTGCGAAAAGATGTTCAGGGATAACTCTGCCATGAGGAAACATCTGCAAATCCACGGTCCCAGAGTCCACGTATGTGCAGAATGTGGCAAAGCTTTTCTTGAGTGCTCAAAACTGAAACGACATCAACTGGTGCATACTGGAGAGAAGCCCTTTCAGTGCACATTTGAAGGCTGCGGAAAACGCTTTTCCCTGGATTTCAATTTGCGTACACATGTCCGAATCCATACTGGAGACAGGCCCTACGTGTGCCCCTTCGATGCTTGTAATAAGAAGTTTGCTCAGTCAACTAACCTGAAATCTCATATCATAACCCATGCTAAAAACAAAAGCAGCCAGTAAAAAGAGAAGACCCTTCTCAAACTCAGGAAGCATCTTTCAGGAGTGTGACTGAAAATAATAATGCCTCTCTCTTGTATGTTGTTTCTAGGAAAGAATTTTAAAAATGATTCCTACACAACTAAGGGTCTTGTTTTGATAGAATAGTAGAAATTTGAAAAGTAAAAAAAGTAATCCTTTGTATAACATTGTTAAGATGCTCTATCTTGTTCTATAATACCGTTTGAAAAACATGTTTTTGTACAGTTTGGTCCCAACAGGAGGATAATTCATGAACCTCACATCAAAAGACAGTTCTTCATACAGCTGTGCCAAAAGTGGGACTTCTTTTCACATTCTTTTAAATATGAAGTTCACTTACTGCTTACAATTTTTTAAAGTTCTCTATTTTCCAAATGTTCATGTTTATACTTTTAGGAATATGTTTAGTAACTCTATGGTGTTTTGGAAGTTGATAACTTTGCTTACAGATGTTCTTTAAAAGAATGAACAGTTATAAAAAATGTTTAAATATAAAAACAAAGTGAACAGTTACATGCATGCGTAAGGTATTTTCCTGTTTAAAAAAGTTATAGAGGTTTTGTTTGCTATCTTAATTTTGGTTGTATTTTTTTATATTAAGTTTCTGCATAACTATCTTTTAGCTGCGTTGAATTATGTAGTATTGAATAATAGATGTGACTTAATAGTATTAGTCAATTTAAACCTGTTTTAATCATTTTCTTTCCCCCAAATACTGCCAGGTACTGTTGTTTAGTGTGATTTCTTTGCCTGTCAGAGAGTGGTGTTCAGTTGTAGGATATATTGTGTATATATTGACTTTTTAATGATCGATATGTACATCTTGTGTAGTAAAGCAAAAATAAAATTCGTGTTCTAAAGAAATAAAGAAAAAAAACTTGTCTGTATAAATACCATAGCTAGAAAATAGAGAAGATGGGGAGGGTGCCACTGGCATGTGGTGAGTAGAGACCAGGGATGGTGCTAAACATCCTACAATGCACAAGACAGTCCCCCACGGCAAAGAATTATCTAGCCCAAAATGTGAATAATGTCACTTGAGAACCCCTGCTCTAGAGAAAGTAAAAGTTGTAACAAAGATTCTTTTGGTGTACTTACAAACAAATTATTAATGGACGAGAGGTTGTTTAAGTAGAGGAAATGTGTGTGTTCCACCACACTCATTGCCACTTAGCCATCATGGGCAAATCTGGAATCTAGAGGGGTGATCTGGTACCAGCTATATGCCTGACAAGAGATGGAGGCTGCCCAGAGAGTCAAGGAATCAGTGCTGCTGTGTGACCCCCCCCCCCCCCCGCCCCATTCTTTTGATGGGAATAGTCATGGTTGTGTGGTGGTATCATCCTGATAAAGGAGAGAGAGTAAGCGTGCAGGCATGTAGGCAATCCTGAGGAGTTGCGGGGAAAGCTGAGTTAAAAATGAACTTATAAATGAAAAAGCAAAATTAGTTTCTGATAAATAGTTTGATAACATTGGTGCTTTTAAAAATCTCTCTGTATATAGAACAGAAAAGATTGTTTGCCTAATACATCCTAGACTAGACTTGCTCTAGACATTTCTGGAATTTAACAACTTACAACACACAAAAAAAAGTGGAGGAAGTCTTACAATGTGAATATGGTTCATGGAACACCTGTTAGCTAGGTATCTGGCTGCTTTAATAGCTAAAAGTAACAATGGGTTAAACTCTCATAAAACATTCCAAAATGTAAGTAGTTCAGCGCTGATATGATAATTCTTTGATTTGGGGGACTCTGGCTCTTTCTGATTGTTAGCTCTACTATTCCCAGCCTGCAGCTTCTATGTCATGGGCTCAGATTAGCTCCATCATAGCTACATTCCAGCCAGTAGGAGGGGGATATCCACATCACTTCCACTCACATCCTGTTGGCCGAAACACAGTTGTATGGCCATACTCAGCCTCCTGAGTCTGGGAAATGTCTTTAGGTTACATTTCTGTAATTATAGAGCATTGGTTCTCAACCACTGATACTATCGCCCTCCTGGGGAGGTTTGGAATGTGTGGGGTGGGGAACATTCTTTGGTTGTCTCTGACTGGAGAGCACTAATGGCATTTAGTGGATGGAGCCAGGAATTCTAAATGTCCTGTAGTGTAAGAGACAGACCTGCACAACTAAGAATCACACTGCTCAGAGTGCTAGTAGTGCCCCCACCCTGCCCCGTGAGAAAAACTAGTAGAAGAAGGAAAGGATAGGTGTCGGGGGAGGGGTTATCTAGTGGTGTGCTAGTGAATGTTTAACTCCTGGCTCTGGTGGGGAGGATGGGGAGCTCTGATATGTAGCATATGCTGGTTTCTGTTGTAAATACTACCACCATGGCCAATTTCAAGGTGCCAACCTGAAGTCCCTGAAGGAGGAATTGGGAAGAGAGGCACATAGTCAGCTGTGACAAGCAGGTAGGAGCAGGCTCCAGCACACCACTGGGTTCACCTAACCATCTCTGTATATATGGTGGAGGTGGTGATAGTCTGTGACATGATGTAAGATACATACTCTATTTGGTCCACCAATACTACTCTCCATAATAGTTTAATTCTTAAAGCAATCCCTTTTTCCAAGTACCATTTGGATTTCCATACCCCAGTTCAGCAAGAGTGTTTTTTATTTCATCTTAACTTTTATTTCAATAGCTCTGAAGTTCCTTTAAAAGATCACAAGTATGTTTAAATTAATATTGTATACATTTTCTGAAAAGAAGGTATAGTAAGTAGAAGATATTAATTGTATTCATGTTATATATATATCTTAGAGGTATATATATAATAGAATATAGATGCTATTAGTGTTAAGTCATATTAGCATGTAGTCTTCCTATTCTGGTATTAACATGCTCATTTTAGATTTCAATATTGGAAATGGAAGAGGCCCCTAACTGAACGTCTGTCTGCTGCACTAAGTAAGATCTATCTGCCTGACAGCTTCTTCTGGTTACTTTACTAATTTATCAGAATGCCCAGGTATTATAAAGTCCAAATACCTAAATCATTCCTGCCCCTGATTGAGCTTATTTCTTTTTTTCTGTCTTTTCAGGTATCTGGCATAATTTCGTCCTTGCACTCCTGGGTATTTTAGCTCTTGTTCTGCTCCCTGTAATTCTCTTGCCATTTTACTACACTGGAGTCGGGGTGCTTATCACTGAAGTTGCTGAGGTAAATAATGGATTACTTGGGGCATTCTGTCGCCAGATTTTGTGATGTAGCACATAGCATTTTATGTCAGGAACTTTTATTCAAGTTGTCCTCCTTGAAGAAATTACTGTAATCCTTTCAAATTGAACAAATAGTTTTGTGAAATACATTGGCTTTTTTTTTTTACTTTTTATTAAGATTATGATAGTTTACAACCTTGTGAAATTTCAGTTGTACATTATTGTTTGTCAGTCATGTTGTAGGTGCACCACTTCACCCTTTGTGCCCACCCCCTATCCCCCCTTTCTCCTGGTAACCACTAATCTGTTCTCTTTGTCTACATGTTTAATTTCCACATATGAGTGGAGTCATACACAGATTGTCTCTCTCTATCTGGCTTATTTCACTTAACATAATACCTTCAAGGTCCATCCATGTTGTTTGTGAATGGGACAGTCTTATCCTTTTCTATGGCTGAGTAGTATTCCATTGTGTGTATATATATATATATATATATATACCATATCTTCTTTATCCGATCATCAGTTGATGGGCACTTAGGTTGCTTCCACATCTTGACTATTGTAAATAATGCTGCAGTGAACATAGGGGTGCATGGGACTTTTGGAATTGCTGTTTTCAAGTTCTTTGGATAGATACCCAGTAGTGGGATGGCTGGGTCATAAGGTATTTCTATTTTTAATTTTTTGAGAAATCTCCATACTGTTTTCCACAGTGGCTGCACCAATTTGCATTCCCAGCAGCAGGGTATGAGGGTTCCTTTTTCTCCACAAACTCTCCAACATTTGTCACTTTTTGTTTTGGTTATTTTTGCCATTCTAACAGGTGTAAAGTGATATCTTAGTGTAGTTTTGATTTGCATTTCCCTGATGATTAGTGATGATGAGCATCTTTTCATGTGTCTACTGGCCATCCATATATCTTCTTTGGAGAAATGTCAAAATACATTGGCTTTTTAAATTATTTCTGTTCTGAATTACAAAGATAGTACCAAGATTTTCTACCTGTAGTTTGTTGATAAAATGCATCATTTACCTTTACTGTTTATTTTTATAACTCTGCTGTTGAGTCAAATGTCTTTACTCCTAAGAAGTCAGAAAGATGAAAGCTAGGCTAGCCAGCCAGAACATTTTGTGGGAGTTTAAGTTAATGTCTTCAACTCTGTATTTCACTCCCTTAAACAGTAACTACTATGATGACATCGTCTTCTATTCAGACTTTGGGAAGAGGAAAATTACCTTTCTGAGCAACTGGCTCACATATTTCCTGTGCTGACAGTATCGTCTACATATTTGGGACTGTGTTTAGATAAGGACTTGTCTTATAATTTTATCCACTGAGCATATAGGAAAACGAAGGCATTCTGATGACTACTTTCACAAAAATTTTAATTAGCAGTTTGGGAAAACTTTGTTGTTTTAATCGTAACAGTTGGTGAGTGAGTTTTTTTCAGTTGTGAAAAATTCAAAATCTTGGAGAAGTAGGAAAAGTAACTATAAGTGTTGGGTTTTATTTTAATTTTCTAGGTCTGTACACCTTGGATTCAAAGCTGGATTATCTACATTATTCAAAATATTCTACTTAATTAACTCGGTGTCTTTAGCTATTGTTTGCTCAGATTAATTTTAGCTTGTCTTGACACATTACCTGATTTGATTTTTCCCTCTTCTCAAGGACTCACCTGCCATTGGACCCAGAGGCCTTTTTGTGGGAGACCTTGTCACCCATCTACAGGATTGTCCTGTTACTAACGTGCAGGATTGGAATGAATGTCTAGATACCATCGCCTATGAGCCCCAAATTGGTTACTGTATAAGTGCGTCAACTTTACAGCAGTTGAGCTTCCCAGTTAGAGGTGTGTATGTTTCCTCAGTATAACACAATGCTTCAAGTGGCAGTACTTGCCATTCCCCAATTCTTAGACCATGTCTGTAGATTTATTTGGTTCTAATTTCTTTAAAACAAATCGGTAAAGTAATGATAGGCCCAAACTAGTAAACATTCTTCTTGATAAGTTGGATACTAATATGTATGTTTCCTTTATTATATATTGCTGTTAAACTTCTTACTAATTTCATAATATCATATTTGATTTTCAGGACTCTAGTTATCTAATTCTTTCTGCATTCAAAAAAACTTGTGTTAAGTCAGCATTCAAGCTCAACCATAACCAATTAACTAAGTTCCACTAATTAAATACCCCTGTGCTATATGGATAGTGGCATGTCCAAAGCTATTTGGGGTAGAGTTGTTTTATGTGGCAGGCATCCAGAGGAAGTCATCTTGGCATCTGAAAATATCCCCTGAAGTCAGATCTGTTGTTCTGTGTAGCAGGTGACAGGGTGATGCAAGCTTATTCTCAGAAGCTGCTAAATTTATTTTGAGTTCTTTCAGCTCTGAAAAATCAGCCTCTCTACTCTTTATACAAAATCATGGGGGGCCAAATTATTGAAAGTGTTGGAAAATACAAATTATGCTCACAGACTGTATCTTTAATTCAAGAAATGCCCTGGATACTTGTCCACATCTCTTGGGGTTAGAAAATGCAATTAATAATCAAGAATAACTTTACTAAAGTACTGTGTGCAACAATGGCAAAGTAGTAAGAACTAATCTTTAAAACTTTTTTCAAGTGTAATCTTCTATGTGTAACCCATTTTTAAGAACTTTGTTTATTGTAAATGTTTTTCAAACATACATAAAAGTCAAGAAAGTAGTGTAAATGAAACCTTATGCGTCCTTCTCCCAGCTTCAGGAATTATCAACATTTTGCCAATTTTTTCATCAAATCAGCCCACTTTTGGAGGAAGTATTTTAAAGCACATCCCAGGCTTCCTATCATTTCGTCCATAAACTTCAGCATGTCTTTAATAGATGATGATTTTTTAAACATGACCACAGTATTGTTATCACATCTAACAAAATTAACAATAATTCTTAGTATCTAGTTGATATTCACTTTTCCTTAACTGTTCTTCAAATAGTTGGTTTGTTTAAGTTGAATGGTATGTCTTTTAAGTGTCTTTTAACTGGTAACAATTCCTCCTGACTTTTTCTTTTGAAATAACATTTGTTTGTTGAAGAAACTGAGTCATTTGTTTTGTCGAATTTCCTATATTCTGGATTTGTCTGGTTATATCTTATCCTCATCATGTCATTAACATGTTCAGATGTCCCCCAAATTTTCTATAAACAGTAATTAGATCTAGAGGCTTGATTAGATTCAGGATCCATTTTGGGGGGGTGCAAAAATCCTTCATAGATAGCACTTAGTACTTTCTATTGCATCATGTCAGGAAGCGCACAATGTGTGGTCCTCTCCCTTGTGGTGATAAACGTTGTTCATTCTTTAAGATTGAAAGACCTATAAATTTTTCCTATTCTCAAGAGCCATTTAGCGTCTTCCAAAACTTTTCAGATGACAGGTTAGTATGTAACCCACAATGTGTTCTTCTGTAAGAGAAATAATCCATTATTTTACACTACTTAAGTCCTTTATCATTTTCCTCCAGTTTCTCTAAGTTTGGTACAATCTGTATTGAATTACAAAAGCCAAAATGACACAGTAATCAAATAAAATTTTCTCCAGTAGGACTGTTTTATTTAGGATATCTGCATCTCAGGTGTTTAAGATTTTGTCCTTTTCCTGTCAGACAAATTGGAAATGAAAATTTTCCCTGATATACTCTGAAACTGTTTCCTTATTAACTTTTTGAGTATTTCACTATTATGGGTCATATGCTGTATTTTGGAGGTATTTGTTGAAAAACGTAAAGCAGATATTACTCTTTCTACACTAATAGAAAATCAGTCCCAAAATAATAATTCTTCAATATCTATTTCATCTCCTTAGGAGCGACTGTATTAGGACACATGTTGATTTTGCATGGTGACTTTATCTGATAAACCCGTACCTCCATTTAACCATTTCTAAATGGAGTGCATATACTTAGCCAGTTTATAGGAATTTAATGACTGGAAATATAACTTAAAATATATGCTAGATTAATTTTAATGGCAGGCTTGACCACTGGGGCTGTGGACATTTAAGAAAGCTGGGGATTGATAGTATTTTACATGTATCTAGGTACCTTTGTTATCCTTCATTATGAATAGAGGGGAAAGATATAGCTAAATATGATAATACAAAGTGGCCAACAATCCAAAATTGATTCAATTTAGAGTGGAATTCAATATACATAATTAAAATTCTAAGAATTTATACCACTTCAAAACAATAAAGTCACCTTGGAAAGATCTGACCCTGGAAGTGCCCATAAGCTGTCCCAACCAATCATTTCTGGCCTTAATTTCTACCTTGACTCTCCCAGGTGTATTATTAAATCTTTAAAGATATTCCCTAAGATATTAATTAATTAAGCAGACTAGATGTTCTCCTTAAAATAATAACAGGTAGATTTCTGGCAAATTAGAAAACTGTGGTTAATCTACCTGAAATGACTGTACATTTTATTAAATTGTTAGGACCTGCCTTTTTCTTGTTAATCCTTTCCTTTTTGACTTTTAAACATTAAAATGTTAAACTACAACAAATGTCACCAACAAAGCCAAGGCTGGTTTACTTCCACCTCTGCCCTTGGTGCATGGGGCAAGCCTTAGGAGCTTGTCCCATACTCTCCTTGGAAATTGAATGGCCTTTCCAAGAAGCCCCAAAATGGACACTGGGTGAAGTCTTAGAGCCCTTTGCACCTGGAATAGACCTCTGGTCTCATTCTGGGTCAGAACTGAAAACAACTTTTCCCCCATTCATATTCAAGCCTCTGCTTTTAGCATTGCTGGATGTCCATATGCCACTTAGTGATTTGAATGGAACTAAAAGTTACAGACAAGAACTAGTCTGGCTCTTTTGGGGGGGACTATTTTCCTAACAAGTAGCTTGCATCCCCTCTTTAGTTTGAGGGGACAATCTTCATTTCATATACTATACATAAAACTATTTAGCTTTTTTCCTTTTTTGTTTCCTTAAAGCATTGTTTTGAGTAATAAAAACTGTACTCAAGAAGTCCAGCATTTGAACGACATTTTAAGGAGCATGAGATTGAATACTAAAGGCAGCTTCTCCCTAAAATGAACCTGTGAGCCCAGCTTCAGGTATCTCCCTTGAACAGCCTATATTCCTGTTCAAAAGAGGTGAGGGTCTATGCCCTTAACTGCCTGGCAAAGGGAATATTATCCTGTCTTCTATATTTCTAACTGAAGTGAGGAAAGAACTTTCCCTACCTGGTTTAAGATAATAAAAGGAAAACTCTGGGAATCTTTTCCACATATTTTGAGTACCCGGATTGTTTTTATGCCCAACTCTTCTCTGTTTGGAAAAAAGTCTCTGTTTTCTCATTGTGAACATCAACTTATGATCCAAAGTTTCTTTGCTATCCTAAATTGAAGAGAGAGAGAGTGTTTGTGTGTGTGTAATTTTTTAACTGCTTGTTACTGGATGATGCTGGTATAAAGTCTACTGTAGAACTAAGAATAAATAGGCTTGCCTCCCTGTGTTGGAGCTCTAGCTACATTTGTATGTGTATTAAGCCAGGGGAAGAAAATTATTCAGTTCATTTTAGTGATATAGAAAGTAGTGGGGACTGTGAACTATAGATTGAAAAAGTTTCTTCCTACTAGCCTTATTCCAAAATCACCTCTGGTCTAGACCGTCTTTTGAAGACTAGACTCTTTCTATGACTAGACTGTTTCTATGACTAGACTGTTTCTATGCACTCTTAGGGTGCATTCAGAATATGCAGTTTCTCCCTGTAGTGGAATTGTGAAACTGATCTGGTCTTAATTTTCCTAATTGTCTCCAAATCTGGGGAGATTTAAGGGACAATTCTCATCTCCCAGAGTTAAATTGAACCCATGAACGCCTCTGGGACCGCCTGTTGCAGCCTTGAATGCTCTTTCCAAAGTAGAATTGGATTGGCCTCTCATGCTTGATAGCAGTGTACTAATGTGAAAATTTTCTGTGGCGTCCCCATCTTACATATTAAGAATTGTATCACAGAAATTGGTTAAGTGACTTGTCTTTTAATGTGACCCAGTAGAAAAGATTCTAAAATAAAAAAAAATTTTTTTGAGGAAAATTAGCCCTAACATCTGCTGCTAATCCTCCTCTTTTTCTGAGGAAGACTGGCCCTGAGCTAACATCCGTGCCCATCTTCCTCTCCTTTATATGTGGGACGCCTACCACAGCATGGCTTGCCAAGTGGTGCCATGTCCGCACCCAGGATCCGAACTGGTGAACCCCGGGCCACTGAAACGGAACATGCGAGTAAACTTGATATTTCTCTGTTTATCAATTAAAAAAAAATGTTGTAGCTTTAAAATTTTTTTTTCCTTTTTTTCCTCAAAGCCCCCCAGTACATAGTTGTATATTCTCCGTTGTGTGTCCTTCTAGTTGTGGCATGCGGGATGCTGCCTCACTGTGGTTTAATGAGCAGTGCCATGTCCACACCCAGGATTCGAACCAACAAAACACTGGGCAGCCTGCAGCGGAGCACACGAACTTAACCACTCTGCCATGGGGCCAGCACCTAAAATATTTTTTATATCAAGTTTACTTCTTACATGGTAACAAAATATTTAGCTCTTCATTGGAAAATTCTGTATGTCAAAAGGTACTTAATCTTGTCAGGGCAGCCACAGTCATGGATTTATGTTTTGGTTGGAATAATCACCATAGGAAGAAGCTGTAACCCTGAGGTCACAAATTGGTGGTAGCCTAGAGGCCAAATCCAGCCTCAGCAGATGTATTTTGTTTGTCTTGCACAGTGTTTTTAAAAATTTTAAATGACTGCCAATATTTAAAATTCAAGAGGTTTCACATGAGGGTCCAGATTTCTGGTTCCTCTTATAAAAAAATGGATGATCTCTTGAATCTGGGCCCCAAGTTAAGTGGCCTGCCTGCTAACCCCTTAGAACAGGGTATATATTTTCTAATTCATCACAGTCCCCACCACTTCCTATTCTTTCCAAACGCTATCCATTACATTCATTTGGTACCTGCTTGCCCCTTTAATCATTTGCATTACCAGATATGCTGTATCAACAGTGATAACAAATTCTTGACTTTCAATTCTGTATTGTATACAGTCCTCCAAGAAAAGTTAGTGATCAAGCACCAGATGTAAACTTTTAAAAATAGTTACAGATATAAAGGCAAGTGGCATAGAACATCATTTCCATATTCAGTATATATTGAGTAATCCACTGTATGTAAGAGACTGAGAAAACTTTCCCTCAGGGAGTTCACAGTCTAATCAAGAAACAGACTATGCCCATGTTATTACAGTACAAGGTTAAATGTAAGTGATGACAGGAAATATTGGGAGTTGTGAAAGTTGATGGCAGTCAGTCGTGACTGAGATGAGGACAGGTTTCATACAGCAGCTCCTGAGATGGGCCTCAACAGTGAGTTTCATTTCAGGAGGCCAAGATAGAAATCAATCTGAGGACCATAGATTAGAAGGTGGTCAGGGAACTGCTAGTAATTTCATTCAGCAAAAGAAGAGTATGAGATACGGTGATTTTTAAAAAGTGGAAATCTTTACGTTTTAGGCTATGGAGTTTAGACTTTATTTGGGAGCAGTGCTGAGTCTGGAAATTTTGGATTAGAAGCACTACATTCTCAGAGTTCTACACTGGAGGGTTAATTTGAAGCATTTAGTATGTAGGAGAGGTTTGCATATGAGAGCTAGGTGATAAACAAGATGCAATAGGACTGTTCAAGTGGGTCAGGTGAGGAGGAATTAGTGTCGACACTCAGGTGGGAATACATAAGGAGAAAAATAATGGGGAGGTAAAAATTAGTGAGTCTTGACAACGGATCAGGGAGAACACTGAGGGTTTTAGCCTGGATTGATTAAAAAAAAATCTTAAACAACTTTTTACTTTATACTTTATGATTAGGGCTGACCAGTGATTATAGGCACGGGTTTGTCTGTGCCATTAGATGTTTACAGTTTGTTTTCATATTTTAAATATTACTCGTCACCCAAAATTTAAATATCCATTCAGTTACGATAAGAAAACAAAACGGGACTGCCTGGTGGTGCAGTCATTACGTTCACGCGCTCCACTTCGGCAGCCAGGGGTTCACCGGTTCAGATCCCAGGTGTGGACCTATGCACCACTTATCAGGCCATGCTGTGGTGGCAGGCATCCCACATATAAAATAGAGGGAGATGGGCACAGATGTTAGTTCAGGGCCAATCTCCCTCAGCAAAAAGAAGAGGATTGGCGGCATATGTTAGCTCAGGGCTAATCTTCCTTGGAAAAAAAAATAATAAAATAATTATTTAAAAAAAGAAAGAAAAAAAACAAAACTACGCATACAACTAGCCATTGCAGAGGAGAAGTGGCTGTATCTGTTAGTTTGCTTCCTCTCTGTTTCGTTCTTGACTTTTTGTTGGCCTGGGAGAGAGAGGAGCAGTGCGTGGCTAGGGAGATCCAGTCTAACCAATACAAGATGTCTTCCTCAAATAATGTAGTAAAAAAAAAGATTTAAAAACAAACAGACCACCTTTGGCTGAAATACAAAATCCTTATAAAATCACGTTGCATATCAACTAACATTTTCATGCTAGTGACCCTGAAGACACTCTTATAATAAAAGTTGTTTGTGGTACTAGAAATCATAGATAACTTTACTCTTGATTGAGTCTGTCTTCTTCACCATATGTGAGTATGGTAGTGTGTATATGTATAAGATTTTAAGTTTAATTGGTCCTTGCCACACATCAATTTATGCTTCATGGGTTTGATGTGCTGTAAAAAGGAAACCTTCCAAAATAAATACATGAAAATCATTTTTTGTCCCACCTGTATCAGTGATTAAGCTTCCTTATTCTGCCCTAGATACAAGTGAAGCTGTCTACCAAAGAACTTGAAAAAAATAAGTGAATAATAGGAATAAACAGTTGCCCTGTTTCTGTTGTCTTCCAAAAATGGTAACTGGATTACTGGTATGCAGGCAAATATGTGCACATCTGTGGGGTGAAATTGGGCCGTCCTGGTCCTATGGGGAAAGCCCCAAGGTAAGCCTGGAGGTGGGATAGATATTTGATATAATAGGGCTGTCCTTAGGGCTTTAGGGATGAGAGTCTTAGGCACCCTCTGGCCCACTCTGCAAACACCACAGCACAGGAGCTAAGTAGTGATATTGGATCAGCGGCATTAGGGCATCTAATAGTGGCTCATTAAATATTTTTGCTTGACCAGCTGAGACCCTGGAACTCCAGCTTTATAGTTGGTAAGTTTATGTGAAGACAACTAACCTAGGGTAATTGCTGCTGCTTGATTTCAAATTGGACGTATCTCTTTTTGTAATGTAAATCAAACTCTGCAGCAAGTAGCCAGCAAGCTGAACACTCAATTATACAGTTGTTTCCTAATTCATATGCATTTTACTTACTTTTTTGGTCTTGAAAGCAAAATTTTGATTACAAATGTACTTCAATATAATGGATTCTTTTTTTGATGATGGGTTCTAATAAACTATTTCTCTTTAGCATACAAACGGCTAGATGGTTCGACTGAATGCTGTAACAATCACAGCCTTACAGATGTGTGCTTTTCCTACAGAAATAATTTTAATAAGCGTTTGGTAAGTTGTCCCTGAAGCAGTCTTGCTTGTCTGATATAATTATTGCAAAGTAAGCGTATACACACATAGAACTAAAATGGAACCTGTGAAAACTTCTCCCTGTTGTATCATTTCACATGTCACATTTCATCTGAGAATCTTTAAAAATTTGTAATGGTAATATCTTATTTGGCCGAAATGGAATACTTAAATCCAATTTATAATAGGTGCACATAAATGGCATTTCTTCTATATGAACTTTGTTCCTAATATGCTAGGTGATATGGAAGATTTTGAGGGAATGTACTTGGTGTTCTTCTTGTTAATAATCCGTTTTAGTATTGACTAATTAATATTTTATTCATAGCATACATGTCTACCTGCTCGGAAAGCAGTTGAAGCCACTCAAGTTTGTAGAACCAATAAAGATTGTAAAAAAAGCTCAAGTTCAAGTTTCTGTATAATTCCTTCTTTGGAAACTCATACTCGCTTAATAAAAGTGAAGCACCCGCCTCAAATCGATATGTTGTACGTAGGACATCCACTACATCTTCACTATACAGGTAGGTATTATTGTGGTAGACCCTCAGAAAATCATTAAGATAGCATATATTTTCAGTGGTAGAAATTTATATATTTTTAATATATAATATATAAAAATATAAATAAATTTGATCACTTTTCAAAGTCTTGTTAACTTGTTCTTAGGCATTAAATGAAATTTAGGCTGTAGAGAAATAATCCAATTTATAGCAAGAGGGAATCCCATGTCTGCCTATGAAGAGTAATACATTTTTCCTTCACCACTGTTTATGCCCAAGTCACATAGATGATCTCTCAGATATTCTCTGAGAGTTTTTTAAATTTATCCAAGCTTCCAAAACAGTGCGAAGAGCAGCGTACCCCAAACAATGCCAGGAATCATGGTAATAGAATTATAAAGTAATTTGTGCATGACACATGAATTTTATCTGAATATAATTTCAAAACCAGGCCAGCATGATTGTTTTAACAGTGGCAACATGATTGGACTAAATATGTAGTTTCTTATGGCTGAAGATCATATAGTCTAACTCATTTTTATGTACAAAATCTTTTTATGTTTCTTTTTTTATAACAGCTTTGTTGAAATATAATTCACATACCAGATAATTCACCATTTTAAAGTGTAAAATTCAGTAGTTTTTAATATATTCTTAGTTGTGCAGCCATGACTACAGTCTAGTTCCAGAATATTTTCATCACCCCAAAAAGAAACCCCATAGCCATTAAGCAGTCACTCTGCATTTCTCCTCAACACCCCTCAGCCCTTGGCAGCCGCTAATATACTTTCTGCTTCTATAAATTTGCTTGTTCTTTACATTTCATGTAAATGGAATATTTTGTGACTGGCATCTTTCACTTAGCATGTTTTCAAGATTCCTCCATCTTGTAGCACAGGTCAGTGCATCTCTCCTTTTTATGGCTGAATGATATTCCGTTGCATGGACATAACACTTTTTCTTAATTCATTCATCAGTTGATGGACATGTGAGTTTTATGTTATTCTTGTTTTTTGTCTTTTTTTTTAAAGATTGGCACATGAGCTAACATCTGTTGCCAATCGTCTTTCTTTTTCCTTCTTCTTCTCCCTGAAGCCCCCCCAGTACACAGTTGTATGTTCTAGTTGTAGGTCCTTCTGGTTATGCTATATGGGACGCTGCCTCAGCATGGCTTGATGAGTGGTGCCATGTTCGCACCCGGAATCCGAACCTGCAAAACCCTGGGCCGCCAAGGTGTAGCACTCGAACTTAACCACTCGGCCACGAGGCTGGCCCCTATGTTACTCTTTAAAAGACTTTCTCATTGCTTCGTAGTCATATCCTCAGATACAACCTGGATCATTCTTATTTATTAGTTTGACACTAAGTGACTCTAGAGTGCAAATACTAAATGTATCCTCAACAAATGAAGAAATGTCCCCTTTTAGGGTAATTCAGAAATGTGTATTGTGGGTTCTATCTAATTACAGGAGAGTTTTTAAGTGTTTTGAACAAAAACAGGATTATGGATTCCAGAGAGTAGAAGAGACCTTAAAAATTCTCTAGTATTGGGGCCAGCCTGGTGGCCAAGTGGTTAAGTTCACGCGCTCCGCTTCAGCAGCCCAGGGTTTTGCCAGTTTGAATCCTGGCTGCAGACATGGCACTGCTCATCAAGCCATGCTGAGGTGGCATGCCACATTACACAACCAGAAGGACCTACAACTAGAATATACAACTATGTACTGGGGGGCTTTGGGGAGAAGAAGAAGAAAAAAAAAGATTGGCCACAGATGTTAGCTCAGGTGCTAGTCTTTAAAAAGAAAAAAAGAATTGAGAACTTTAAACAAAATTCTCTAGTCTTAATCCTTGTTTTAGCACTGAAGAAAAAACAAGACCAGAAAGAGGTTAAGTGGCATATAATACTTGGAGTGAACATGATTTTAAGGTTATACCCCTTTGCAAGGGTAAGGACTCCTGTGATGTAAATTCTAGTATATTTTTTTAAGTTGGTCTCTGTATTTGGTAATCATGCTTGGTATATAGTCAGTTTTATCTTAGTCTCACCTCAAAATATAAGTACACACTGGGACGTGAATTTCTGTGTTCCACTATTTGTATTAGATGTTCTAGAATAATCAGTTGTTTTCATATGTGGGGCATATAGCCTGCCTACATATATTTGGGAAGGGTTTTCTCAACCAGTTTAATAGGCTACTCCAATTTTCAAGCGTATGGTAAAATTCATAATGCTATTGCTTATCTGTATGAATAATATTCATTATTTCTTATTTTTCTTTTTTAGTGAGTATCACTAGTTTTATCCCACGTTTCAACTTTCTAAGCATAGATCTGCCTGTGGTTGTGGAGACATTTGTCAAGTATCCTTTCTGGTGTTGAAAAATGTGTTAAAAGTATATTACTTGGAACTTGATCAGTCTTACCTTAGATAGAGCGTGCCTAGACTTTACAAGTATCAATTAATTGCCAGCAACTGAAAAACAGACTCTAAAGTTTAAAAGATCAGATTGTACCTAGGAGGGAAGAAGTCAGAGGAGAGAGATTTATCAGGAAGGGAGAAAGGTTAAGATGTGGCAGGGAAGAAACCCAAAATACAAACTGAGTTGGATTTACAGAACTAAACTCTTTTAGTAATTTTATAAAGGATGAAAGCTTCAGCTACTAGTGAGGCGATGAATTCCACCCCTTCTGAGCCTGTTATCTCTGACCAAATGGATGAATGCATAAGGGAGATGAAGCTGGTTTCCACTACTAAAATAGCAAGTCAAAGGACAAAATCTCATGTGTTCTTTAGCATATTGTGTTTGTGTGTAAAAGATGAAATTTTAAAAAAATTGTTACATAGAATTTGGATAAACTGAACAGTTTGGAAGAGTTCTTAATTTTTGTCACTTTTAAACCTTTTTCATTTCTTTCCTCAATGATTTGCAAAAAAGTAAAATAGAAAACAAATGAGCAGTTACTTAAAAATGTGTACAGTCGGGGCTGGCCCCGTGGCCGAGTGGTTAAGTTCGCGCACTCTGCTGCAGGCAGCCCAGTGTTTCGTTGGTTCGAATCCTGGGTGCGCACATGGCACTGCTCATCAAACCACGCTGAGGCAGCGTCCCACATGCCACAACTAGAAGGATCCACAACGAAGAATATATAACTATGTACCGGGGGGCTTTGGGGAGAAAAAGGAAAAAATAAAATCTTAAAAAAAAAAATGTGTACAATCAAGATTGTACCTTGTAGGCTGCAGCTTTGTCTCAGAGAGATTTATGCTATAACCTTATAGATGACAGTAAAATAGAGTTATGTTTACATTATATAGTTATATTTATGCTTTAACCTTATAGATGATAGTAAAATAGAGTTTAAGGGGCCAAAAATCTTTGTTTCCTAATATAAGGTAATACTTTGTAAGGATCAAAAAATAATTTTCCCGTATTTCTTATTCCTTCCACATTTCTTTCCCTTGTTGTATCGTTAAAGGATTAGAAAGACATAGTCTTCCTAGGAGTTCATTGTAGATGGCCTTAGTTTACAAGTGGTTGGCCTTTATTTTTCTAGTCAAGGTTTTTGAACTTTGAAATAACGTAAATCATTTGTTTTAAATAGTAGAGATCTAAGAAGGAATGGCCTGTATTGGTGGTCAGAGATTTAAAGAAAGGAGGGAAGTCAACTGTAATCTCAAATCCAGTCCTAATAAAATATCTTCTTCTGACTCCCAGAAATGTGCTTTCCATTCAAACCTCACAGTCGGCTCCTTAACTGATTTTAACCAGGTACCTGATTTCCCTCTCAGGAGCTCTGGCTATTGTTAATGCAGTGCCCTGCTTTGCTTTGGATGGACAGTGGATTTTAAACTCTTTCCTGGATGCCACCCTTACCTCGGTGATTGGAGACAATGATGTCAAAGATCTGATAGGATTTTTTATCTTGCTTGGTGGCAGTATACTTTTGGCTGCTAATGTGACCCTGGGACTCTGGATGGTTACAGCACGGTAATATTTGCACTCATCTGACAGAATCTCTGAGTTACAATATACAATCCTGAAAACCTTACTTGCTATGAAATATAAAGTGTTTCCTTAAGATTACATTTTAGCCAACCACTTTAAGCTCCTCCTATATCAGAGTTATCTGAACTCTGGGATGGGGAATAAACAGAAGAAATGAAAGGCATAGTCTCTGACTACATTCTAGTTTTAAAGACTGAACTTACAAACTTCAGATGCTTGTGGAACAATTTCTAAACAAGTGCAAATTCATGTTAAACCACTTTGTGTGACTATATACCATGTTGAAGTAATGTAAAAGAAAACAGAATTGGGTGGAATTAATTGGCAAAAACTTCTTGAAAAAGCATCATTAATCCAGATTTGAAGGCGACCAGACTTTGGCCAAGTGGAAAGGTGAGCATTTTCTTGGCCTATATCTCTTGTCCTTTGTCTTGTTTGAAAAGTATTTTAAAATTTAATAGTGTATTATTTTATACTCTGGTAACTGAGGTCTGATTATAATTAAATTAATAAAATTCTATAAAAGAATCTGCTGACATGAAAGGGAAAATCTTTGTCAAATGATACCAAATAAGTGAACAAAGTAGGAAGTGGGGCCTACAATATCATGAGACGTGTTTTGCCTCACAAGAGTTGCCTCTTTGTTAATGTATCCCCCTACCCTCATAAAGCAGCACTGGCCTTGACATTCCGAGTGAACTACAGGAAGTGTCTCCTACCTGCTGCATGTGAGCTGAGGCAGCCAGGGTTGAACCTCAGAACTGAGCCGTGTCTTCCAACAAATCACAAGACAGATCACAGGACTTTCTGCAGTCCTGGTTACCATTCTCTACAGAGCTTTGAAGCTTGGAACCCTTCCAGGGTAGACATTTTCTCTTGTGCTGCTGCGGCTATCAGGGGGCTAGCTCCTGGGTTCCTGTCTTCAAGAAGCAACTACCTTAAGCGCTGAACCATACTCTGTCCTCACCAGAGGCTCCCGTGTTTCTCAGTGTTGGGTAATTAAACACCTAGTCCTTGCTTTCCATCTTTCCCCTAAGCTACTTCTGTGGGTCCACGGAAGACTTGGTAGTACAGTGAGAATGGCTACAAACATGGATTTGCCAGAGCCTGGGAACTGACTTTTGAGCCCCAAAGAGCCCACCCTAGTTCAAGGTCCTTTGGACTGGAGATGCAGCCTTGGGAGATCTGTGAAGTCAACAAACCACTGCGAAGCTATTGGTCTTCGAAGTGTATGAGCATGTCGTTTCTTTGATGAAAAATATGTTTCTCTCGTACACTCAAACGTTAACAGTCACGTATCCAACTTCTTCACTAAGTGAGGTGTTCCATGGAGTTCACCTTTTTCAGATCATTGCGTTGCTCTTCAGGCACTAAAACTTTTTAATCATTTTTAAGAAACTCTTTAGATTCTATTAAAAATATGTCTGTCTTCTTAAACAGAAATTATGCATTGAATATCATTTTAACATTTTGTTAATAACTCAAGGTCATCAGTTATTACCATTACTGAAACCATGCAATTATTGGTTTATCCCAGGGAAAAGGCATTTGTTCTATTCTTAGGCAGCCAGTCAATCAAGATTAAAGTGTATTAGCAGAGTGATGCTCAGACCTGTTCAGAGCTTGGGGAATGCCATTAAATACTTACATAATTAATTCAGTTACATGAACTAAGCAGTTTACTAATGAAAATGTTGTCTATGTTCAGGTCAGTTGTTTAAAAAACAGAAAAAAATTTAGTAGAGGAAATCCTACCCATTAACTTTTCCTGGGTGAGAAAAAAAGCAAACACCTCATTTTCTTGTAGCTTTTAAACACCTGGTCTGTTGCTCCATAGGGTCAGGATTTGGGAACCACTCTAATAGGATATTGAGCAGATCAGTCCCATTTGTATAGAAATGGTCTCATCGTGTGAAAAAGGAAATGTTACGTGTTGTCTCTTTAGCTTGATTGTGGGTACTTTTAGAGCAAGGACCATGTCATGCTCATCTCTGCATCCCTAGCACAGTGCATGAGACATCAAAAATACTTAATAAATGCGGTTGAATGGATGATGATTCATGTTATTTATGCACTAGAAAAGCATGTTTCTATTTAAGTAAGCTGTAAAAAGTATTATTGAATATTTACTGTAAATATATGTTAACATAAAAAAATGAGAGGTCTTTGTGTCCCTGATATATTATCATCTTTATGAAAATAATCCTTTTTGGTTTCTGTAGAGCAATTAGAAAAATGAATTATTTTGAGGATTTGAAGAAAGTGTTCTTTTTGTGATGTCACTTTGTTCCACAGTAAAACTTTATTTTCAGTGTTCCTACTCTTCATTGTTTACATTTTTGAGGGTTTTTTTAAAATCACCTACAATCTGTAAAGAATGTATATATTCTTTTCAGCATCTCAGTTTGAAAAGACATGCCGTTAAACTTGACCTTTTGATAATCGCTCTTATAGGTCATTGTCTGTTCTAACAGTAAATTGTAAACATCTGCTTCATGGATATGTGGCTCTCAGCCATTATTTTGTCCTGTGGTATTTATTGAATGTCCACATTCTAATGGTGCACAGATATTTTTCTATAAATCTTTCGACTGTTCTGTAATTCATTCTTAGGATTTAACTTGAAGATACCACAGTTGCTGGCATTTGATGTTTAGCAATAAAAGAATAAATGTGTACCAGCATTCTATGTTTTATCATCATCTATGTGTTGTCTTTCTTAAAAAATTTGTATTCTTTTTTTTTTTATTAATGTTATGATAGATTACAACCTTGTGAGATTTCAGTTGTACATTTTTGTTAGTCATGTTGTGGGTACACCACTTCCCCCTGTGTGCCCTCCCCCCATCCCCCCTTTTCCCTGGTAACCACCGATCAGATCTCCTTATCAATATACTAACTTCCACCTATGAGTGGAGTCATATAGAGTTCGTCTTTCTCTGACTGGCTTATTTCGCTTAACATAATACCCTCGAGGTCCATCCACGTTGCTGTGAATGGGCCAATTTTGTCTTTTTTTATGGCTGAGTAGTATTCCATTGTGTATATATACCACATCTTCTTTATCCAGTCATCAGTTTCTGGGCACGTAGGTTGGTTCCACGTCTTGGCTATTGTAAATAATACTGCGATGAACATAGGGGTGCAAGGGACTCTTGGGATTTCTGATTTCAGGTTCTTAGGATAGATACCCAGTAATGGGATGGCTGGGTCATAGGGTATTTCTATTTTTAACTTTTTGAGAAATCTCCATACTGTTTTCCATAGTGGCTGTACCAGTTTGCATTCCCACCAACAGCATATGAGGGTTCCTTTTTCTCCACAACCTCTCCAACATTTGTCGCTCTTGGTTTTGGATGTTTTTGCCAATCTAACGGGTGTAAGGTGATATCTTAGTGTAGTTTTGATTTGCATTTCCCTGATGATTAGCGATGATGAACATCTTTTCATGTGTCTATTGGCCATATTCATATCTTCTTTTGAGAAATGTCTGTTCATGTCCTCTGCCCATTTTTTGATCGGGAAAAATTTGTATTCTTTTCTATCAAAATTGTTCTGTTTACATACGTCTTAGTCGTTTTTAGATTCTTGATTCTAAAAGCAGCCTTCAGTTTTCACTCAAGCAATCTGTATGTAAAAGTTGTTGCAGGCCATGGAAAAAAGTCTTTTTAAAATGAGGTTCCTGTACTCTTGCTACTGGTTTGGAAATAGCCTGTTTATGGATGAAAAAAGACGACTATCATGTTTCCTTTCGTTAGTATCTGACAGGAATCGTCTCTAAGTCTATATTTTTAGGAATTCATCAAAGAAAAATATTTCAACTATGGCATTGGTTCTTCTTGACCTGTTGTGCTAGCGCTTTCTCCCTTGTCCACAGAGCCAACCTCTCTGCCATGCACACACACACGCACGCACACACACACATTCTCTTTCTAGGTTACTAAGGGCTAGATAAATAGGCTGGAAATTTAGCCCAATTCCTGATTGGCTAGCCTCATTCCACTCCTCCTTCTTGCCTCTGATCCATTGTACTATGGTTGAGAGTCACAAGACTAGATGACTATCTAAACCACCATTTTTTAGCAGCTTTTTGAGATATAGTTAAATACCATAAAGTTCACCTGTTTAAAGTGTGCAATTCACTGTAAACTTTTTCTTTCAATGACTAATCAAACAATAGTATACATATGCTTTAGTATAATCTACCCTTTTAAGTAAATGAACGTGATAAAAAACTGGGAAAAAAATGTTTTAGTTATTTCACAGCTATTTTAATTCTGAAGTGGTTTTCAGCACTGGAATAGAGTTGAATAACAAATTTATTTTTAAGGTAAAGCATGTGGATATACTTTCTTTGAGACAATAAGCCTTTTTTATCAGTGCATCTGCAAGCTACTCTTGCTGTTTAGGCCATACTAATTTGAATAATCCATTGTATATTTTATCAGACCACCGCAAATGAATTCAATGAAAGGAAAGCCTCTATTTCAGAACCTAGTGCTACAAGAGATTATACTCAGGGTGGAGGTAGAAAAAAAATGGCTAAAAGAAGTTGCAATTCTAATTACCAAGTAGATTATATTGTGTAATTTAATATCCCATTATAGAGAGAAAAACACCCTTATAGCTTAGCTTTTTTTTTTCAAAGATTTTATTTTTCCTCTTTCTCCCCAAAGCCTCCCGGTACATAGTTGTGTATTTTTAGTTGTGGATCCTTCCAGTTGTGGCATGTGGGATGCCACCACAGCATGGCCTGATGAGCAGCACCATGTCCACACCGAGGATCCGAACCAGCGAAACCCTGGGCCGACGAAGTGGGGAGCGCGAACTTAACCACTCGGCCACGGGCCAGCCCCTATCTTAGCTTTATTTAGCTAAAGATTGATGGTTATTCAAAATTGCCCCGTATTAACTGACTATTTCTCAAATTTTTCTACTGAAGCCCTTCTGACACTGTAGAGGAGGGAAAACCCAAAAGAATTTAAGAGTAGAACCCTGTAGGGGCCGGCCTGGTGGTGCAGCGGTTAAGTGTACACATTCTGCTTCAGCTGCCCGGGGTTCGCTGGTTCGGATCCCGGGTGCGGACATGGCACCGCTTGGCAAGCCATGCTGTGGTAGGCGTCCCACATATAAAGTAGAGGAAGATGGGCACAGATGTTAGCTCAGGGCCAGTCTTCCTCAGCAAAAAGAGGAGGATTGGTGGCAGATGTTAGCTCAGGGCTAATCTTCCTCAAAAAAAAAAAAAAAGACACAAGAGTAGAACCCTGTAATTGGCTCCTCATCCTATAAAATTAAAGTGTCACTTTATCTTAAATTCATGTGAATTTTGCATTCCATTAATGAGGCATCGTAAAGCTAATTCTCCTCTTAAAGATATGAAACTCTAAACTGTAAAAGAATTAGATGCTAAGAATATTAAGATTTTCTTCATGTCTAAAGCACATTGGCAGAAAGTAGTTTATAACAGCTAGTCTGTAGACTAGTGACGGTCTTTGATGGTGTTTTTGTCTATTTATAGTGAAATGAGAAAAATAAAAATGTATATTGTCTCTAGTTACAAAATGAAGAAAATGTACGCATGTTATTATAAGATTGCCTGCTGCCGTTTATCAAAGAGCTCTCCTTTATGGAGTATGGAAACACATACTTAATTTCACTTAGCACTCCCAGATTGCTCTCCAGAGTGGCTCTGTGTAACTGACACTCATCAGCAAGGCATGAGGGTTCCATGTTCCCCCACACCCTTACCTCCGCCTGAATTATCTGACTTCCATGTTCTGACAAATGTTAGGTGCAAAACGGCATTTCATTTTAATTTGCATTTCTCAGATTGTTAATAAAGGTGCACATCTGTATATATACTTGTTTAGCCATTTGGATTTTTCATTCTGCCAATTGCTTATTGATACCCTTTGTCCTAAATTTTTCTTATTGATCCATAGGAATTTCTTATATAGTCTAGATTAAGGGTCGACAACTACAACCTGCAGGCCAAATCCTGCTCAGCAACTATTTTTGTAAATAAGGTTATATTGGAACACAGCTGCATGCATTCATTTATGTATTCTCTATGGCTGCTTTTAAGCCACAACAACAGAGTTGAGCAGCTGCAACAGAGTCCATATGGGCCACAAAACTTAAAATATTTACTATCTGTTTACAGAACAACCCATGTTCTGGATACCAATCTCTTGTCCATTTGAGATTTTGCAAATAATTTTTCCGTCTATCACCCATCTATAAATTTTATTCATGAGATCCTTTGTTGAATGTAGTCAAATCCATTGATTTCTTGCTTCATTGTTTGTTTTGTGTGTCTTTCTGAAAAAGTCCTGTCCTGTCCCGAAGTCACAATAATATTCTACACTTTCTTCTGTTTGCTTCAGAGTTATATTTTTACAATGAGATCTTTAATTTCTGTAATATGTGATATGAGGTAGGAAATCCAGGTTTATTTTTCTATATAGAGTGAACTATCTTTAAATTAGACATGATACCATTTTCCTTTATAAGACTGTTAAACAGTTTGGATAAAGTTCTTAATATGGTGCCTTGCATGCTCAAGTTACTATTATGTACTTAAATTTCTTATTTTCAGAAGGCAGAATTATGACATAAATTTGCCCTGACACCTCTGTCCACACTGGTGTTAGGTCTTGCCTCCTTTTGGTATGCCTTCTTGGCTTCCAGGGCCTTCAGGCTAGCTCTGGTTGTCCAGAGTATCTCCCAGGCCTTGACCCTTTTAAACATTTCTTCCCCCAAACAAAATGGAGCTAAAATCATAATATTTAAGATGTGAGCTAAGGATTTTGCTCTGAGCTATTCAAAATAACCTCGTGTTCATGAGTGTGCTCATTGATAGTAACATTGGCATTTAAATCTGGTCTTAACCAAACAGTATCCTAATTCAGAAGGTGGCACTGTGATGAACCAATATAGGAGAGTATTGAGGTAGGATGGACTTTGAGGACTAAATCAGACAATAGAGAGCTATCTACTCTGCACAGTCTGGGATATTGTGTTTCAAAATAAGCTCTTTTTTAACATGTTCATTTTAATTTACATTTTTAGTTCGAAAAGAGGCTAAACATTTTTTTTAATGTGTATTCTTTTTTAGGTGTTTTTATCCACATCCTTTGTCCATATTTCCCTGCAGTGGTTATCACCTTCTTACTACTTTTCATCCTTCAGGGCTCATATTTTTATGAAGGGTTTGCAAACATATATGACCATACCTTAGCTTCTTTTATAGGTCCTTGACTTTTGTACTGTATTCCTAGCATTCTTTTCTTCCTTTTCAACCACTTCATTTCCATCTTTTAATGACTTCTAATTTCCTTTCCAGGATTTATGTATCACCAGAAATCTACAATGGACGGTAGCACTTTGCAATTTACAGAATGTTCCCTTCTCCAGTTCAGGGCACCCCATTTTCTGTTATGGAAATATGTAGGAAGAAGAGGTTGGTAATCAGGAGTTTGCTTGGGGAGTATAGAACTGGAACAGGAGATAGATAATCTGATTTTTTTGGCCTTTATAGAAGAACAATTTATTTTTTACTAGAAAAGTACACATTCATTATAGAAAACATGTTAAATGAAAGTAAATTGTAATTTATTGGAAAAATAGGATATTATAAACTAATAAGCTGCTTTATTAAACTTGACAGTGTATTACAAACATT